AGTTTGCCTATGTGGCACTCCAAGCTAAGGCGCTACTTCTGATACAATTTCTATTTATTTTTTAACAAACCGTATTAGCCTTTTTACCCTCCCCCTCAAATCTCTCTTAGCAGGTAAACCCACAGGAAAACTTTCCGAAATATATACCACAACCTCTTAATAATGTTTACCTCAGCACAGGGGCTAAGAAGGCAGGAGAAAGATAAAAGCAGACATCTAAAATATTATTCTTCATACTTCTATATGATTTGAAGTGTTATAACTTTTATTTTTTGAGTATATGTTCATTAGTTTTTAAAATCGGAAGTTTAGGCAGAAAGGAAAAAAGCTGGTAATCCCACCACCCAGAGATGATCACTTATCGTATTAATTTGGGTGTGTTTAGCTCTTCAGATTTTCACTTATTTTATGTTTAAAAGTGGCCATTGTTATCATGTTTATTTAAAACACTTTAAATTAATTTTTATATCTTTTTTCACCATTTCTAATGAAAACATGGCATAAGTGGAAACAATATAAAGAACTGCCAAACGTTTTTTCTGGTTTTTGTCAAGAACCACTCTCCCAATCTTGTGGGCTGTTGCTTTTTACTTGTCTTTTATACAAGGTCTTTCTTTAATAAAATATTTTGTTTGTGATGTAGTCTTTAAGATTTTAGGGGCAAAAATTAGGCTTATCTCTCCTTGGACTCTAGGCTTTTAGGACAAAAAAATGAAGACTAACTTTTGGATCCTAGGTATCTTAAAATAAATAAAGTATCTGTGACTATCTTGACCGGAAACTTTATGCATTAAAAACTATTCTGATACTTTGGAGAGCTACAAGAAGTGCTGATTAAAAAAAAAAACACAACAAAACCCTAGTATCAGGCACTTACTATGTATTAAATTCTATATATCTTCTCTCAGTTGGATGCAGTTATTTGTCTTCTTTGGTCTTCCACAACATAGAATTACAAAGTTTATGAAACTGAAGAGATATTTATACCTCTATTGCACACAGGTTCAACTGCAGGCCACAGTGAGGTAGCAAGTTTCCCCTCCTTCATGGGCCACTTCCTCTTTACTGTTTACAATTAGAAAAAAACAGAGGACTTTTGCTGGCACACAAAGCCATAGTGCTATCTGAAGTGGTTTTCTATGTATTTGTAGCTGTAGCTGACTTCAAATATGCATGGCATTTTCATCACCAGAAGAGTCAGTGAATGTCTTAGGTCTAATTCTCACAAAAGCAGGCCCTGAGCCAAGGATTTAGATTCAAGTCTCTTACTGGGAAACGGCTTTCAGGAGAAAACAATAAGGGAGTCAAGGGGTAAAGGGTAGGAAATGGATAGAAGCCCAATGAAGGTGTGATTTCTTCTTCTTCTTTTTTTTTTTTACATGAAGTTGAATGTTTTATTATTAAACTTCCTTGTTTTCCTGCAAGGCTGCTGCTTCGCTGTATAAAAATAGCACCAGCAAACTTAGTATATTGCTAAATTAAGATAGTTTTGTTCATCATCTGACATCATAACAAAAACTTTTCTCCACTGCCAATTATTTCCAATGGAATGTTCACTAAGTATTTTGACCCAAATCCAGAGACTGATGCAAGAAAGTTACAATATTATATAAAGCTTAAGATAACAATGTTATCCTTGAAATACATAACTTTGATAACTAGATTTCACCACAGATGATCTCAGGAACCTGACTATTATTAACTGTAGCCTAGCTTAAAATCATAGGGTGTTGTAAAAAAGATGCAGATTGTGTTTATCTGTGATCATGACAAAGTTAGGGGGCATTTTCTTCCAATAGCATTGTTGCAGTTTGTTTTTCCATGGGTATGACTAAAAGTTGTTATTTTAAAAATTCTATCCAACACTAATTTAAGAAAACTATGCTAGATTAAACTGTTTAATACTACTTTATTTAAGGGAGGAGTTCCATTTGCACTCCTCAATAGATTTTATGTATTTATCATATGCTTCTTCATTCATTAGTTCATCTACTTCTGAAGGGTTACTCAATGTCATCTTGACCAGCCAACCATCTTCATAACAAGATTTATTGACAATTTCTGGATTTTCTGCAAGAGCTTCATTAATTTCAGTTACTTCTCCTGTTAGAAGGGAATAGAGTTCACTAGCAGCTTTCACACTTTTCAAGCACCAGATTCATCTCGTTTGCTCAATTTGGTCCCAACTTCAGTCAGACTACAGTAAGCAATATCTCCCAAAGCTTCCTGTGCAACATTGCTGATTCCCGCTGTCCCAATACTGTTTTCTGTTGTTACCCATTCATGCTTCTCTGTGAATTTACTCACTGAGAGCAGATTGGGGCCGGTGTGCAGGGTTCTGAAGGCGCCCGTGCTTAGGCCCCATGGCCGCGGAGCGCAGGGCTAGGCGGTCGACAACTCAGCGGGCAGACGGCAGGCCACGGCGCTCAGGGTCCAGGTCGCTCGGAGTGCTATTTTCACAGGAGTCTGAGGGTCACGGCACCTGATTTCAGAAGTAGTTCCACACTCAGCCTGTTCCCACGGGGAACTCTAGAACAAAGAGCACACCTCAGAGTTTGTTCTGCCCAGAAGAGAAGGAGCTGGGTTTTCCTATCTCAGGCAACAGGCCGCCCAGGAGTGTGAAGTGGCTTGAAACATAAAACTTCCAGTTTCTTCCACTACCAGCCCAGGTACTTCCAGTGTCAGAAAATAATCTGCAGGTCTAGGGATAAAGTGCAGGTACTAGTTGTTGGCAGCAAAATATGAAAAAGCTGGGAAGGGTCTCATAGAATCAGGGTGGAGCATTGGTCTTCTACAGTGAGTTTCCTGTTAACATCCTCTGCTGAGCCCAGAACACATTGCTATTCCAAACAGCCATTAAAAGTTCAAAGTTTCTAAGGAGCTAGCATTAAAGTGTAAATGCCATTGAACTCAGGCCCGAGTTTGAATTCTAATTTCCAAAAAGGAATAGGAAAAGTCATCTATCTATTCCTGGCTTGATTCTTCATCACTATATCCATAAAATGGTATAATTATTCCTACATCATAAGGTTTATTTATTTATTCACTTAATCACCTGTGCAATAAATATGGAATGTCTATTCTCTGCCAGGCACAGTTCCAGGGATGTTTTGACAAGGCGAAGATGACAAGAAGAGCCCTGTAGAATGTAAAGCTCTAAGTAACTATTTTTACTTCCGGTGGGTTTTCATTTTCACAGCTCACTAGAACATAAAAGTACCTAAAACCACAGCAAGAAGGTATAAGGAGAAACTTTTTGGCATTTAGCTGATGAAAAAACAAACAAAACCAACCAACCAAACAAAAGAAAACTGCGGTGGAATACCTTCCCTTAAAGGGCTTTAGTTTAAAGATGGTCCTCAATCTGGACAGTTCTTCCAAAGTTGAATCTGGAAGCAGAGCTCTCCTCGAGCAGTCCCAGTATTTCTGTAAATAGTTTTGCTCAAAGAATTCACAAAATCTATTGCATTTTCAGGAGCTTCTTGTGTTGCCTCTGTCACAGTTCATCCTTTTTCAGATCTTTTGACTTTTCCTGGCCTCAGTTTCTTTATCCATAAAATGAAGGGTTCTTGATCACTAACTGCACAGTAAGCAAGTCACCTGGTGTATTAGAGGCTTATCTGCTGTATGTCTATGGATAGGGAGTCAGTTCTCAAGGTGGGGCTTGGTAGACTGAGTTGTGCAGTTCTCAGGACTCCAGTGAGATCCAACACCTACCCCTACTCTTTTTCCCAACACCTCCTTTCTATAAAAACTGTTTCATGGTGCCCCCTTCACTAGTTTGATTATGAAAGCCAAGCATTTTAGTACATCAGTGTTCTAGTCTGGCTGCATTGGCTGGTATAAAGAAGTGCCCAGATGCTTACACTGGCTCAGGATTTCTGTGAACCGGTAATGGGGGAAAAAAACATTTAAAATTAGATAATCACTCTGTTATCTGCACTAGTATAAATGCCTCCTTTCTGTTGATGTAATCTTTCCCCTTCCCTTTCTCAATAGCCATTGCTGTTGTTTCTTACTCGGAACACTGTTTGGATTTCTGCTTGAATCAGTGACTCCCAATTGTTCTTTTATTTATTTACTTTATCTGAAATAAGTGCTTGTTGTCTCTTACTATGAAAAGCCTTTTATTTTTTAGGTTAGGAAGCCATAAATATACTGGGACAACTGCTACACAGACACACATAGACTTCAACTTCCTTCCTTGTAGTTTCTGCCTCTGTCTTTTGCATACTGGAACCAATCAATCTCTGTTAAGCTAGCCTGCAAGCCTCCATTTGTATTTTGTGGTTTTTGCCTTTGTGGATTCTACCTTTCTTTGCTCTCTGCAGAGTGTAGTTTGAGTTGCTACTTGAACCTGTGTCTCTTGGATTACAATCCTTTGCTCAAATAAACGTTTTTTGTTTTTTATTACAGCCTAAACCATGATGTTGAAGGCTGATTGTGGTGTGACTCTCTGAAATGGTGAAAATCTCTAGGTAGAATTTGAAAAACAAACAAAAAAACTCAAAAATACATGTTCCTTTGAGTTGCCTTGTAGTTGCATCCTTGGAAAATTCAGTGTCTGGCATAGTAGATGGTTAATAAATATTCAAGAAATAAATTTAAATAATTTAAAAATAAAACATGTTTTTACATGTGATTCTAAAGCCCAGATTATGAGTAGGTGTTTCATACCTTTTTTTTTTTTTTGGTGTGTGTGTAGGTTGGAATTCTAAAAATCAATAAGTATATCCTTGGGTGAGGATTAAAATAATAATAATGAGCTTAATGACTAGGGTAGAGGGGAAAAAAGAAAAACACCAAACACAACAACCCAGCCCTTTCTCAGAAAGCTTGACACCTTGGACAAACAGGAAACTAAGGACGGGAAAGTCCCCTTTTCTAGCCTGAAACAGCACTTTTTGCATAGAGACCGGTGACGAAACACACCGGGCTCGGGTTTTGATTGGGCAGTTGACAAACGAAAAGAGGTAAAACCCCCAGTGCCTTTCGCCACTCGGTTGGTGGGAACACGTCCTGCGACTCCTCACTTGGGCACTTGGACTCTGTTTTTCGCTGGGCGCCCCCGCCAGCCTGGGTGCATTTGAAGTGAGTACCTCCTGCCAGGCTGTCCTCCCTCTGCTCCCCTCTGTCTACCGGTTCTCCCTGGCTCTGTGACTCCCGTCAGCCTTTCCTGTCTAGTGAAGCCAGGCACCCAGGTTCAGCTCGGTCAGGCTGTCCGGGCCTTGCCGGGAAGCCTCGGAGATGCCCGAAAGAGGTGCACCGCTGGAGCGCACGCTTCCTGCTCCATTATCTCTGAATAGCTATTTGGGTGGGGCGAAGCGGCACAGGACGTTGATGAGCGACTAGATGCGTGAGTGGGGTTGCGGGTGTGGGTGCTGCTTTCCTGGCTGCCCAGCCTTATCCCAGATGGTTCACTTTTCGTGGGCGCATCGCGGAAGGAGAGGGGCAGGTGGGTCCCAAAAGGCAAAACGTAGTTAAGGGTGGTGGTCCGATGTGAGGCAAGTGTCTGTGGAATCCAAGAAAAGTATTGCCTCAGTAAGCGCGCTCTTCGGGTGGAGTGCTGAGCACTGAGCCCTTTTCTGGGCTCACCCCATTTTCCTCTCGAGGCAAACCAGGTTCTAAGGCTTGTGTCTACATCCAGATCGTGTCAGCTGTTTTGTGTAACATTTCTATAGCAGTTTATGTGTTTTGTTTGTTTTGGCAAACGCCTTATGGAGATATAGTTCACAAACCATACAACTCACCTATTTTCAGTATACAATTCAGTGGGTTTTAGTATATTCACAGTGTTGTGTAATCATCACCTCGATTTCAGAACATTTACATTTCCCCCCAGAGAAATCCAGTACCCTTTAGCGGCCACTCCCACTTCCCCCTATGGATTTGCCTATTATTGACATTTCATATAAATGTCATGCACTATGTGACCTTTGTACTGGTTTGTCACAATGTGAAGTTTTCAAAAGTCATCCATACTACAGCAAATATCAGCACTTTGTTCCTTTTTATTGCTGAGCAATTCTCCATTGTATGGATATGCCACATTTTGTTTATCCATTCATTAGCTAATGGGCATTTGGGTTGTTTCTGCTTTTCATTATTATGAGTAATTTGAATGCTGTTATCAATATTCATGTACAAGTTTTCCATGTAAACCTATGTTTTCAGTTCTCCTGGGTATAAAGCTAGGAGTGGAATTGCTGGGTCATCTGGTAACTCTATGTTTAACCTTTTGAGGAACTGCCAGACTATTTTCCAAAGCTGCCACATCATTTTACATTCCCGGCAGCAATGTATGAGAGTCCCAATTTTTCTATATCCTCCCCAACACTTACCATTTTTTTAAAAAAGATTTTATTTCTTTATTTTTAGAGAGAGGGGAAGGGAGGGAGAAAGAAAGGGAGAGAAACATCAATATGTGGTTGGTTGCCTCTTGCATGCCTCCAACTGGGGACCTGATCCAAACCCAGGCATGTGCCCTGACTGGAAATCAAATGGGCAACCCTTTGGTTCGCAGGCCAGCACTCAGTCCACTGAGCCACACCAGCCAGGGCTATTATCTTTTTTATTATTGCCATCCTAGTAGGTATGAAATGCTATCTCATTATGGGCTTGATTTGCATTTCCTTAATGTCCAATGATACATTATTTTAAAATTACAAAATAATTTATAGAACTTTTATAAAGTTTTGAGAACTTTAACCATCTAATCTAGGTCATGTACCCAAAAGTCACAGAGAGTTGATTCAAACCAAGTCTCTCTGTGATGAATGCTTGAATGCTATCCCCTCTTTCCTAGGACAGAATCTGTGCTAAAACTTCAAAACTCCACTTGCTATCTCTGTTAGAAAGAGAATCCTGGGCAAGATGAACCTTTACATGAACTAAATAGTTCATTTCTTATTTGCTATTAGAAACTCAAATATGCATTGAATGTTTTGGCCTCTCCATTTTTACTTTGGCCTCTCCATGTTTACCTTACTGGAATTCCTCATAATGGATCTTGAATGAAGTCAGGAACCTTTCTTGGTGTTTATAACTGTGTGCTTCTCTTCATGTAAGTGTCCCTTGGGCTCTCCTTGTTCAGGACACAGAATGAGGAGGTACACAAAGCTTAAGCTTTGCTTAAATGCATAACTATCAAAAAAACTTGACTATGCATTTTTCTTTATATATCTATACATTTTATACTATGATCAATCTTATTTTAAATATTACAAAAGCTTAATTTTTACTTTATTTTTCAGTTAAAAATTCAGATTGAGCTGTCTTATAAGTGGCTCCTAGAAGATTCACAGTTGTGTAGGTGGAAATAGGACTGGAACCAAAATCATTGTTCACATATACCAGAAAATCTGGACTCTGAATTCTTATCTAAGTCAGAGAGTGACTGACCAACAGAGGTGAGACACCGAGGATTTTAACAGTTACTGTAAACTTTGGCACAGATTGCGTATTTCTCTGAAGACTGGATCCGAAAAGCAAAATGAATGCAAGTACATGCTATGGTAGCATGGTGAATTCCAGAGAAGCTCGAGAATTTTGTACAGCTGGGGAAGAAGGCCCAACTCCTGAGATAATCTTGGAAGCAGAACTGATAGAACTTGGAGAAAGTGATGAAGTAGTTGACCTCACATCTGAATCTCTAGAACCTGCAGTGATTGACTTAACTCACCATGACTCTGTCGTGGTTACTGAGGAAAGGAGGCGGCCAAGGAGAAACAAAAGGTCACACCAGGGCCAAACTGGCATCTGTGTGGTAAGCAGTGAAAAGAAGGGGTTGATGAAGGACAGAGATATATATGTGACCAACAGTGCTTACCATAATGCCCTGGAAAAAGAAACTTTAAGTTGCACTCTACCTGGTTATATTCAGTGTCGAATTTGTATGGATGGGTACTTGGAGATCGAAATGAGTAGACGACACATCTATTCTACAGAATGTGGCCACATCTTCTGTAGTCGGTGTCTCTGCAATTTTCTTCAATCTGCTAAATATTGCCCGGTTTGTTTGAAAAAAATTGGCTGCCATCAGTACCATCGCATTTATATATGATGTGTTGTGCTGCTCAGGACAGACAAACCCCTGATTAGATTTTTCCATGTCCTTGTGCAGAAACTATGGAGATTTGGCATCAATGTTCTGAGCTCAAAAAGCCTGATTTTAAAAATTGCTTTCTGGCATGTATGAAAAACTCTTTCATTTCTCACGAACTGAGACTGCTTTTTGGTTCCTTTGGTTTCATGCTGCAGGTCTGGACTTTTGTTGTTGCAGTGAGTCAAAGACTGGTGGTTGCCCTCAAAGCAATTTTTCCTTTTTTTCTCATAGTAATCAATTTTTAACTGGCAACATGTGGGCATTTTGGATCATGTAAATGAGAGCAACATCCTAGAGATGGTGGAGCAAGTAGACAGAAGGAAGCCGGGAGACCGACAATTGTGCAAACCAGAGCCACAATACAAGTTTGGACTTTTATGTGAGAGATAAATAAACTTCATTCTTGTTTAAGCAACCATTATACTGGGTCTGTTTAGAGTAGTGAAGCCTTTATTTTAATTAATGGACTAGGCAGGGTGCTGTCTCTGGTTTTCTCTAAATTTTCTGATTCCATTGGAGTGGAAGGAAGTCAGTCCCTTCTGACCGCCTGTCCATCCAACAGGATGGAGTGGGGCATTACCATGGGAAGGCACCATGTCCTGCTGGGACTAACGGCTTTCAAGGCCAGTGTGGGCAGTTGCCTAGACACATTGGAATCTAGAGTTGTGGTTCTGTGCTCTCTGACCTGCCAAGCCAGAGAGGGGTTGCCTTCACCCTGGCTTTACAGGCGTGCCTGCCTTTTACCACACTGGGCAGCTAATCAGTAAGTTGGCATGCTTCTCTGAACAAACTCATCACTGCATCACTATCCCAGAGGCTTCAGCAGCCTGACTGGGTCATGGGCCTTGGGAAGACCTCCCCCTCTCCTCACCCCAAACACACACACTAGCTCTTTTTTCTTTTGCAGAGAATCACTTAGCACTGAATTCAGCTTGCACTTTAGAATTGGAGAGGGTGTGATTTCCATGGTGCTCTCTCCTTTTCCTTCAGAATGAAATGTGCAGTGAAGTTTGTTCCTTACTTACAATGGTTGTAGCAGTGTTGCTTTCTTCCATGGAGGCTGAGTCTTGACAGTGGAGTAGTGCTCATCCCTGCATCGTGTCTGTCTACTCACTGGAGTCTTAAGTAGACAGACATTCTATACACTGGAATGTCCTATACCTCAGACCTCAGTTGCTTGACTTGGCACAGAATATGCAGGATAAATGTGGTATACTCCCTCTGTGGGTTCTTTTGTTTGTTCTAAAATGAAATGATGAATAAAAAAACATGAACATGAAAAACAATAGAAGAAAGTTCTATTATCTTCCTACATTTCAATAGATCATCTTGTGTATCCCACTTTGGAGAGTATTAATTGCTCTGTGACAGCACAGGGTATCACAAACTTGGCTAATAATCAAAACATCTGAGGTGCCTACTAAATACAGGTTTTGCTTGTGCATGTATTGTCCATGTGATCTGGATAGACCATACTCTCTCCAGTTTGCTAGCATCCTTCAACTCTCGTTATTGTATTCTGCCCAGCCCACTACATACTTTCCTTACCTGCCAAGCTCATGTAGACATTTGAGATTTTTGTATCTGATTTAGGGGAATAAAATAGGATTATGACTTTAAAAAAATTAAGCTACATTTTACAGACAGCAAAATGCACTGATCTTAAGTGTATAATTAGATGAATTTGAACAAATATGTACATTCCTATGACCAAAACCCCAATCAAAATAGAGAACAATTCCATCACTCCAGAAATTCTCTGATGCCCGCTTCTTAATTCCCATCCCCCAGAGGCAACCACTGTACTGATTACAATCACCATAGGTATGTTGGGGGACATTGACTTTTATTATTTCATGGTTTAGCCCAGCTTATCAGGTATGAAAATTTGATAGGGATTTGGAGTATAAGCAGAGGATCAAGGGTTTGTTTTAGTGGGGGCATGACATACTCTTTTTTAAGTACTGAAGCAAGGAGGTATTAATAATGATACCTGGTATATTTTAAAGCAATAGCTATGTTTCAGGCACAGTACTAGGCACTTCACACATCATGAGCAGTCAAGGTATATACATAGTTAAGAGAAGGAACCCAACAAAATGTAAGTACAGAGGTTGAAGGGAGCTCAAAGGGCACTTAATGTGAATAATTTGACAACTAGTGTATGTGGTTGTGGGAAGAAGTGAGAACTAAAACTAGAAGAGAAGATTAAGGTCGCATGTGTTGTGTTACAGAATTTAGATTTTATCCTATAGGTGCTCAAAAGTCATTAAAGTCTTGGGAGGATAGCCCCCAGGGAAAGATAAGTGAAGGCTGAAGATACTGTTTGACAACTGGGGAAAGAGCCCTGACTGGTGTGGTTCAGTGGATTGGGTGCTGGTCTGTGAACCAAAGGGTTGTTGGTTTGATTCCCAGGCAGGGCACATGCCCGGGTTGCAGCCCAGCTGGGGGTATGTAAGAGAAAACCACACATTGATGTTTCTCTCCCTCTCTTCCTCTCTGTCTAAGTAATTAAAATTTTAAGAAGGAAGTTGGGGGGAGAATATGGAGATGGAATTAGGGAGGACAGATCCTGGTGTTGATTTTCTTCTAAAAATGTAAGTGTATTTTATGAAGTGTATAAGAAAAAAGGGTGAAGTTATCCTGGGCTACAGAATTTGGTAGTATGCTGTTGTTCTCCTTCCCTGGACTGTCTAACAGTTACATTTTAGTACAGCCAGCAGAACTGGGCAAGCCTTTGAGCTGTGGTAGCTCTTGAGAGATGGTCACTTGTCTGGGGTGGCAATGATAAGAGGCCAGGGGGACAGCTGTGGCAGTTTGGATTTAGCTTTCAGATACCATTTTAGAAAAGTGGAAGCTTTTTCTGTGAGAGTGGAAATGAGATTAAGTGATGTGGACAATCAAATTTATCCACTTGATGCCTGATCTAGTTTTAGGTCCAGTTAGTCCTACAATGGGATAATCTGGCAATTTTCATTGCCATTTCCTGAGAAGTTATAGCAGAGAGCAAAGCTAAATCAGGGCAGCATTTAATACGGGACCTTTCCTGTTTTCTTAGCTTTCAGCAACAAAGAGACCCTACAGGGCATATTCCCTTCTCTTGTGGAGTGACATGAAGAAGGCATGTGATATGGCCCCAGGTATGGCTCTGCCAGCATCACTCATCGTCTATATCTGAGAAGTACAGTCTTCTTTGTTGGCAGTGCAAAACTTCGGACCAGTACCAGAATTCTGGTATAACACAAATGGAAGGCATTTTCTAGTGTATGCAAATATTACAGGGGGCATTATTGACTGTGGGAGATCTTAAACTTCACATTAAGTTTCTGCTTATCTTAGTCAAACCAAACAGCTCAACTATAAGGCAAGAAAAAAATACCCCCCTTTAACAGATTAGTAGGTCTTACCAAGTAAAGATAGGAATTCAATCTTAGGAAAAACCCTACTAAACAGATCTAAAACTGCTGGAATTGAAATGAACATCTAGAAATTACTCAACATCTTGACATTCAGTCATTGGTTCAGAAGCCTGACAAACAATTTGTTGGTGTATTTTATCAAATTAACTTTTGGAATCAGCACCAGTCCCTAAAAGCTCAAATTACAATATTTAATCTTCATTTAAAGGAGGGCAGAGGGGCTTGTCAGCGTGATGTGACAGGAGAGAGGCAGTCAGATATCCACACCACTTTGCTTCCCTGCTGAAAAGAAAGCCTTTAAAGTTAGAACTTCTCTCTTCCTTTCTCAACAAGCCTAAGCCTCAGAAATAGCACCTTTGCTGGACATAGGCCATTTATCACTCATCTGCTCATTTACCTGGTATTTATTAAATTTTGATAGTGTGGTAGGCCTATATAGTTAAAAAGATGAATAAGACAATCCTTTTCTTTAAGAACCTACCAGGTAGTAGGCAAGAGATATGAAAACAAATAGTTATAATACAATGAAAGACATAATGCAGTGTAATAAGCGCTATGATAAAAATATCTTCTAGGTGCTGCATAAAAGAAGCATAAAAGAGAAAATAACTGACTTCTCTGTAACTTCCTTGGAGTCTAAAAGATGGAAAATTGAACTTTTAATTTATATTCAGCTCTCTTGGAGTCCATGAAGGTCAACAGCTACTTATATCTCATTATATTTTAAGTCAGAAAGTTCATTTGAGGGAGAAGTTTTGTAAACTATTTGCTATACCAATGTTAGTGCAATAATAATAATATTGGATTGACCAAAAAGTCTGTTTAGTTTTTTCCATAAAATAAAAGACACATTTTTAATTTTCACCAATAACTTTATTGGCTTGGATATTTTGAGTATGTCGGATATCATCTCCATGTGTAACACTGATTGTCCTCAAAGTCTCAGTTGATTGTTGTCAACTTCAACTGGTCGACCCGACCATGAAGCACCATCGTTCAGCAAGAAATCTCCAGCACAAAACTTCACAAACCACGTTTGACACATTTGATTAGTCACAGCACCTTCTCCATACATTGCACAAATATTTTTCTGTGTTTCAGTTGCGTTTTTACTTTTCTTGAAATAATAAAGCCTAATATGCCAAAAATATTGTGTATTTTCTTTCATCTTCAATATTAAAATGGCTACACAAAAATTCACCAATTTTGATAAGTTTTTAAAAAATACTTGTGATATGACAGCTGTCACAATACAATCTAACAAAATTGTTTTGAGTGAAGTTAAAGACAACTAAGTGTTATTAGAGCCAGTTTATGGAAAAAGCCAAATGAACTTTTTGGCCAGCCCAATAGCTCTTACCATTTATTGGGTTCTCACTATGTGCCAGGTACTGTTAAGTACTTCCTTAGGGCCTGGGATTTTCTAGGCATTTGTTACTTTCTCAGACATTAAGAGTAGGGGCTGTTTCAGTGGAATGTGAGCTTTGAGAGGTGGAATCTCTGTCTATTAAAGCCACTTAACTGGGGTCTCAATGCTGTGATGGGATCATGAGGGATGAGGTGGTTATTTCTCATGTGATAGGCTTATGGACAGATGATAATTTCATCTTTTGTGGAGTCTTCTAGTTCAGACATGGGGATATGTGAACCCTAAGATGAGACTGTCAAAAAAAAAAGATTAGATGGCCACCTCAAATCTAAATGAGCTGCTTCCCCCTGCTCCCACCAAAAGAGGGTGGGCAGGTAGGCCATGCCAGTTGGGGTTCCCTCTTTGTCTCAAGCTAATGATGACCAAAGCAACTGACAAACTGTCACGGAATCTGCCAGACCTCACTCTGGCCTTGACCACTCTACCCAGCTCCTGAAGTTTTCCTCCTTCAGTCATGCTCTGAGCCCATTCTTAGCCAGCCACCACGTCCTGAACTTCTGGTCTGCAGCCATCCTGAACCTGTTGAGCTCTGGTTCAAGTGCCTGCTTTGGTCCCTGGTGGCCTAATGACAGAGTTTAATGGAGGTGAGTTCCTCTTTTTTAAAAAATATTATTTTATTGATTATGCTATTACAGTTGTCCCATTTTTTTCTCCCCTTTATTCCCCTCTGCTCTACTCCAC